GATCGAGTCCCACATCGGGCTCCCTGCTCAGCAGGGAGTCTGCTTCTCCCTCTGACCCTCTTCCCTCTCATGCTCTCTATCTCTCATTCTCTCTCTCTCTCAAATAAATAAATAAATAAAATCTTTTAAAAAAAAGGAATTAAGTGAGTAGACTCCTCCCTCATCACACTTCCCTTCTGTCCCTTTCCATGCTTAGTCTTGCTGTGGTGAATCAGGTTTACTGCAGATCATAGTTAAGTGAGCAGCTTAACTGTTTTGTTTTTAAAATTCTCTTAGGGGTGCCTTCTGCTCCTCTATGTCTTTAAAAAAAAATTATTTAATTTTTTTTAGAGAGGGGGAGAGGGAGAGAGAGAATCTTAAGCAGCCTCCACACCCAGTGCGGAGCCCAGCTCAGGGCTTGATCTCACAACCGTGTCCTGAGCCAGAATCAAGAGTTGGACACTTAACTGACTGAGCCACCCCGGCGCCTCTCAAATAAAACTCTTTTAATGTAATCATTCAGATGTCTTTGAACACCTACTTTATGCCAGACACCAGGGTTCTAGCAGAGAACAAGGCAGACATTATCCTTGCCTTCATGGACCTTTTAGCAGGGAGATGAGCAAAATGATAAACATTACAGATTGTGATAACAACTAGCAAATAGGCCGATGAAAAGAATAACTTGCTTTAGGAAAGGTAGTTGGGAAGAAGTCTCAGGAGGGGAGATTTGGGCCCAGAATCAAAGATAGTAATGTCCTCACCAAGCTGGGGAGAGGCCTTCCAAGATGAGGGAACATCAGGTCAATAAATAGCCTAGAGATAGGAAGGGGTTTGGTATGTTTCAGAAAAAGCAAAGATGTCGATGAGCTGGGGCATAATGAGTGAAGGAAAGAAGTGGGTAGGTGCTAGTAGGACATGAGAAGTTTGGCTTCTGTCCTGTTTTCTTAGTCCATTTGAGCTGCTTTAACAAAATACCATAGACAGGGCAGCTTATAAACAACAGAAATGTATGTCTTACAGTTCTGGAGGTTGGAAGCCCAAGATCGGGGTGCCAGCATAGTTGGGTTCTGGTGAAGGGCCTTTTCTAGGTGGCAGAATGCCAACTCCCCACTGTGTCCTCACATGATGGAAGGGGGCAAGGGGTCTCTCTGGGGCCTCTTGTTAGAGCACTAATCCCATTCACGAGGCACCACCCTCATGACCTAATTGCCTCCCAAAGGCCCCACCTCCTAATATTATCACCTTGGGCATTAGGTTTTCAACATAAGAATTTTGAGGGGACACAGACATTCAATCTGTAGCATCTGTCAGCAGTGGAATGCCATTGAAGGATTTAAAGCAGGGGAGAGAGGATTGACATCTTTTATACACTTTTAAAGATAACTGGCTCTCCGATGAAAAACGGACTCCAGGGGGTCAAGAGTAGAAGCAGGGATGAGCCGGATGGCTATTGTGGATGTCTCAGTGGCTTGGACCGCTGCGGTCAAGGCAGAGGGTCAAGGCGGAGATATAAAGAAGCAGGTGGATTCGGTACCTACTTTGCAAGTAGAATTAGCGGCGTTTTGTATACCAGAGGGGTGGAAGGAAGGAAGGAATCATCAAGGGTGACTCTTAGATATCTGACTTGAACTGCTTGAATTGCTGAAGAGAGTGTATGATACCATTTATCGGGAAGGAAGACAAATCTGTTTAGGTTTGGGGCAGTTCTCTTTGCACTTACTAAGCTTGAGACATCTGATATCTAAGAGGCAATGTCAAGGAACCAATTGGATATAATAGTCTGGGACTCAGGGACAAGGTCTGGCTTCAAGGTATAAATTTGCGAGTCAGCAGCATATAGACAGAAGATAAAGTTCCAGGACTGGATGAGATCATTTTGGGAGGAAGTATGGGAGAGAAGAGAACCCAAGACCAAGCCTTGAAGCTGTCTAATCTTCAGAGTTCTGGAGGAGGGGGTAGAGTCAGTGAGGTCGGAGGAAAGCCAGCAAAGTGGAGCATCGCAGAAGCCAGGAGGAGAGACTGAAGAAAACGCTTGTGTGCGTGGTTATGTCAGGTATGACAGAAGTTGTGGGAGATGAGGACAGAAATACAGTGGCTGTTACAGGAATACGTGGACATGGACATGGAGGTGACTTTGCCTAGCAGTTTCAGGGCAGGGGTTTGAAGAGTGGCCTGAAGGTGATGCAGTATCAGCGGAGGAGACAAGGAAGTTTCCCTGTGAAAGGAGCAGAGAAGTGGAGTGAGAACCGGGGGTAGGAGGGTCAAGGGAGGTTGCGTTTTAACGTTGGAGATGCTAACTATGGAACAGACTTGATTGCTGAACAGAAGGATCCGGTAGAGAAAGAGAAACTGAAAACTCCAGACAGTGGGAATAACTTCAAGAGCCTGAAAGGGGAGAGGGATCCCAAACAGGTGGGGAGTTTTGCCTTCACTAGGAGTGGGGTGCTTTTTTTTTTCTTAAAAATTTTATTTTTATGTAATCTCTCTACCCACTGTGGGGCTTGAACTCACAACCCCGAGATCAAGAGTCACATGCTCCACCGACCGAGCCACCAGGTGCCCCAGGAGTGGGATGCTGCTGCTTTTGTAACCAAAGGGAAGACAGGGTGGAAGACACCATGTAATACTGGTGGTGGGAATATGAGAAATTCTCTTTTGTTGGCTTCTGATTTCTGTTAATGACATGTGTGCCATCGGGACATGAGGGTGGCTGGAAGTGAGTGTGAATGGGGTTAGGGAGGCCCGGGTTGAATGAAGAGGAGGAGGTATGAAATAGTCATCTTCCATAGGAAAAGGGATTGCAGGGGCACCTGGGTGGCACAGTCAGTTAAGCATCCGACGGCTTGATTTTGGGTCAGGTCATGATCTCAGCCGTGAGATCGAGCCCTGTGTTGGGCTCCAAGCGTAGAGCCTGCAAGATTCTCTATCTCCCTCTCCCTCTGCCCCTCAAACAAAACAAAACAAAACTTTGCATTTCTTTGGGATCATTTGGTTGCACCCAACAGAAAGCACTGAAGCCAGCTTACGTAAAAGGAGGATTTTTTTAGAAGGAATCAGGGGATCTCTCACAAAACCCAAGAGCAAGGCTTAATGAGAGACTAGAACCCCAAACAAAAACTAACAAACTGAAGCTAGCTTTCTCTCTGTCTCTGCCTTTTTCTCCCTCTTACAGACCAGCTTTCTCAGCTTCAGGGGGCCCAGCAAGGTGCAACCAACTTCAGGTTCACATCACTTTCTGGTCCAGATGTCTTAATGACTGACTTGTGTCCTTGAGTCATCCTTTTAGAAGATCCAATTTCATTGTCCCAACTTGAGTCAGATGTTTACCCCTCGGATAGGGAGAAGAAGTGCATAAGAAGGTATTATTCACATAAACATGGCTATGAGTGAGGCAGTGCTCTGTGAACGGAGGTTGTAGGTTTGTGCACAAACATAAAAAACCTATGGGAGAAGGTTATAAATACAGATTTCCAAAATTAGTAGTAGAAGAGAACTGTGCATATACCAGAATTTTTAAGCCCCTGCTGTAGGTGATTTAGCTACATTATCTCATAGAGCCTTCATCCTTCTACCCCAAGATATAGGATTTGTCCCCCATTTTATAAATAAAGAAAGTGAGGTGTGGAGAGGTTAAGTAGCTTCCCTGAGGTCATATTAAGAAACAGCAATTGGGGGATGCCTGGGTGGCTCAATCGGTCAAGCATCTGCCTTCAGCTCAGGTCATGATCCCAGGGTCCTGGGATCGAGTCCCACATCGGGCTCCTTGCTTAGCAGGGAGTCTGCTTCTCCTTCACCCTCTTTCACTCCCCCTGCTTGTGCTCTCTCTCTGACAAATAAAGTCTTAAAAAAAAACAATTGGTTTTCTTGGTCTGATTTTGTTTTAATCATTTTATTTTTTTTTTAAAGATTTTATTTATTTATTTGACAGAGATATAGTAAGAGCAGGAACACAAGCAGGGGGAGTGGGAGAGGGAGAAGGAAGATATAATCTTCCTGCCAAGCAGGAAGATTATATCACATCCATATTTAAAGAGCTTCTCCTTTTAATGGCTATGTAGGATTCCATTGTCTGGCTGTACAGTAATTTCATTGGTTCCCACAAACACTGCTACAGTGACTAATCATGTACAGAAATAGTTTTACATATGTGAGTTTTTATATAATTATTAACTATCACTAATGAGGATAACAACTTTTGAATGGATGTTTTTATATTCTGGGCCCTATCTTTTGCAGACATCCGGGAACTGATTGAGGTGGATGATGTCATGGAGGATGACTCTCTGCGGTTTGGTCCCAATGGAGGATTGGTATTTTGCATGGAGTACTTTGCCAATAATTTTGACTGGCTAGAGAACTGTCTTGGCCACGTAGAGGACGACTATATCCTTTTTGACTGTCCAGGTAAGTCAGCAATTTGAATATGACATTTTCCTTGAAGCTGTGCTAATTCTGTCCCCAGTGAGAGAAAGTGGACTGAGCCTTCATAGCTCTTAACTATACTGTAGTGAGGTACAAAGCTCTTGTTTATTGGCTCTAACTCATTCATTGAGTTTACTGAGTGCTTAGTTCGGATGATGGGAATACCATAGAGACCCAGGCAGCCATGGTCTTTGCCTTCGTGGAGCTCACAATCAAGTGGGAGTACTAGAGAGAATGAACAAAATCACCTCGATTATCATTTAATACTAATTTGTGACAGGTGCTCCACAGGAGTAGTACAGACCATCACAGAGCAACAAGATTAGGAGGCTTCTGATCAAGTGGTCTGTAAACTGGGCTGCGGGGTGAAGGTGAGGGAGACCATGGTCCAGGCAGAGGCGCAGCGTGCCAGAAGCCTTGAGGTGGGAAGGAGTGAGGTGGGTTTGGAGCACCAAGAAGGGCAGGGTGGCTGGAGTGCTGAAAACCCAGGGAAATATCATGAGGTGAGGCTGGCGGGGGACAGATAATCACACACAGCTTCTTAAGCCAGGTTGTGGGTTTTAGACTTGAGGCTGACCTAGCTATGGTCAGTTGTGGTTCTCACTTTATTTTCCCTTGCTTTTATTTTACTTTATTTTTTATTTTTAGAGAGTGTGTGTGCGCAAGGGTTGGACGAGGGAGAGGGAGAGAGTCTTCAGCAGGCTCCATTGGAGCCCAATGCGGGGCTCGATCTCACAACCCTGAACTCAGGACCTGAGCCAAAATCAAGAGTCAGACACTTAACCGACTGAACCACCCAGGCGCCCCCACCCCTTTATTTTTAGAGAGAGAGAATATTTTCCCTTGTTTTCAATTGAACTCACAGAAAAGCACATACATCCTAAGCATACAGCTTGATGGATATTCCCAAAAACACACACCTTGGTAGCACTTGCTTTTGACTACCTTTTTAAACCATCTTATAGGAAAATTTTTTTCATGTAGTTTGATGACTACATATTTCCTGTTTGTATTAGTCTTGTCATGTTCTTCATGTAGGTCAGATTGAGTTGTACACGCACCTGCCCGTGATGAAACAGCTGGTCCAACAGCTGGAACAGTGGGAGTTCCGAGTCTGTGGAGTTTTTCTCGTTGATTCTCAGTTCATGGTGGAGTCGTTCAAGGTTTGAAGACCAGTCTTGTCGATTTTTTAGTTGTGGGTACAAGCAGATGACTGTTTCCTTTAAGGACTCTGTGATTTCACACTCTGGACATTTCAGAAACTATATTCCAGAATAATTTAGCATCCTTTATTATTCAGTTGTTGTAATGACATATTTTTAACTCAAAAATGATGTTATGATATCATATAGATTTGGGGGAACTACTTACCAAGAAAAATGAGGCAGATGCATATTTTATAAATATTTTTTTTTTAAAGATTTTATTTATTTATTTGAGAGAGAGAGAATGAGATAGAGAGCATGAAAGGGAAGAGGGTCAGAGGGAGAAGCAGACTCCCTGCTGAGCAGGGAGCCCGATGCGGGACTCAATCCCGGGACTCCAGGATCATGACCTGAGCCGAAGGCTGTCGCTTAACCAACTGAGCCACCCAGGCGCCCTTATAAATATTTTTAATTCTCTGAGAGCCTTTTGTCTAGTTCAGGAACTATATTTCCCATTAATCGCCCTTAAGGAATATTCAGTGGGAAAAGAGGTTAAGATACCATCTAAATTGAGATTTGTGATCACTGTAAACTTTTTTTTTAGAGTGAGGGGAGAGGCAGAGGGAAAGGGAGAAAGATAATCTTAAGCCAGCTCCATGCCTAGCACGGAGCCCAATCCTGAGATCATGATGTGAGTTGAAATCAAGAGTTGGGCACTTAACTGAACCACCGAGGCGCCCCTCCCCACCCGTAAAAGACTTTATTTTTTAGTAATCTCTACACCCAACGTGGGGCTCAAACTTAGAACCCAGAGATCAAGAGTCACATGCTCTGCCAAATGAGCCAGTCGGGTGCCCCATGATCACTGTAAATTAAATCTACCTCTTCCCTCCTTATTCTCACCTTTGAAAGCCAAGGGTCAACCATCTGATTAGTGGACTGTCTTTTCTTTAGGGTGAGCATTTCTTTTTCTTAGGCCAGTTTTGTTTCTGTGAGGAGCAAAATCCTCTCTTTTATGTGGAGACCAGCGAATTTTGTTGGCAACAGTTCCATCTTCCCTTTTCTATTCCCTTCTTCAGTTTATTTCTGGCATCTTGGCAGCCCTGAGTGCTATGATCTCTCTAGAAATTCCACAAGTTAACATCATGACAAAAATGGATCTGCTGAGCAAGAAAGCTAAAAAGGAAATTGAAAAGTGAGTTTACTTTTTCCATTATTGTCAGATCTTAATTGCAGAGATGTGAGGTTCTGTTAGTCTACAAATCTAGTTTCCTGATTTATTCTTCCTTTTATTCATCAATCTTCTTTCTCACTTTCGAAGGTTTCTAGACCCAGACATGTATTCTTTATTAGACGATTCCGCAAGTGACTTAAGAAGCAAAAAATTCAAAAAATTGACTAAAGCTATATGTGGACTGGTAAGTTTTTCAAGTTTTTTTAAATGACCTGATCAGCTGTTTACCCATAGCCAGGCAGTGGCCACCGTTATGGAAAGCACAGTCCAATCCTATTTCCTTGCAAAGGGGAGGTGGGTGGGGGCAGGCTGTGGGCTGGCTGGTCAGTAGTTTAATGTAGAAGTAGTTGTTGCTGGGATCTGATAAGTTAACTGACGTGCCTATTATTCCAAACCATTTGGGGAGTTCAGAACTGTCCTTGCCGTTTTGAAATTTCCGATGGTTGTTGAATTCAGATAAATATCTATGAAACAGTAAGTGTCTAGTTAAGTAATAAGTTAATGAGTGTTCTGGGAGGTCAGAGGTCAGGAAAATCAATGATGATTTGCTTTTGCTCTGTCTCCCTCCTTCCCCCTCCTTCCACACACAAATGTTTTTAATCAGAAGTATAACTGGTTATAAACTAAAATGTAAGTTGGAAATGAAGTATTTTGTACAGCTTCAGAATGACCCTTTATGAAATTCCCAACTTGTAGATTGATGACTACAGCATGGTTCGATTTTTGCCTTACGATCAGTCGGATGAAGAAAGCATGAACATTGTGTTACAGCATATTGATTTTGCCATTCAGTATGGAGAAGACTTAGAATTCAAAGAACCGAAGGTAATTTTTGACCATTGGCTTTTGGTAACCATGTTTGCCAGCACTCACTGGCCTCCTGCATAATCCCAGCAACTCCTCAGATTTTGTCTTAGCAGTAGTAGTAACCTGGGTGTGTCGAGGGGGGAATGTCTGAAATTGACATCTGTGCTTAACAAGCAGTATCAGTTTCATTCTACCTGATATTGAGGCACTATTACCAAGTTTCTTTGTCCTCAGGGCTTGGGGGTATGTACAAAGAGGAGATGAAATCCAGTTGAACTTGGGCCGCCATCACATTTGTCAGTGGGAAGCCTGATGGTAGTTGTCATAGGCCACTGTCTCAGCAAATTAGCTGAGGGTCAGCAAGTGTAAACTCAAGTACAAATGCTTCCAATGAGATATAAGTATTTTAATTTACCACATAGCTGGAAAAATTCTATCAATCATACCTTTTGCCGCTGTGAAAGATACAGCTGGGCATTATCTCCTGGTAGAGCGTTACCTGAAAAATAGGTAAGCACATACTAGGTCTAACTTAAGGGAAATGAATATTTTCTGTTTTGTTTCCTTTGTGTCAGGAACATGAAGATGACTCTTCTTCTATGTTTGATGAATATTTTCAAGGACACCAGAAGGAATGAAGAATTTATCAGAGTAACTATATACGTGAAGCACTTGCTACTGAACCAAGACATTCTTCTCTTAGAAGGATGCGATACCAGAAGGCTGCTTATTTTAATGAAAAAAGCAATACTTGGCTCTTTATCAGCAGCATGCCTGAGTCAAATTCTAGTTATTTTGAAATGGCTGGTGTTTCAAGTGGAATCTTTTAGTATTATTTTAACAACATCAATTTAGATTTTAAATGTTGAAATTGACATGAATGCACATAGACTTGTATATAATACAAATGAGCATCTGTGGTACAGTTAGGACCCAGTCTGCCTTTATTTTTACTATTTGATTTTTATTATTTTTGAAGGTGTTTTGGAGAGGCAGGAATTATTGTAACAAAATATACACATCTGTGTCCAAAGGAAAAAAATCTGGAAGGACATAGTTAAGACCATTGCTTATCTGCATGTCTGAGTTTTCTTACATTGAAAATGTATCATTTGTGTAATTAAAAAATGAAAAGTAAATGTTTTAAAATATATATATGTAGGGGCGCCTGGGTGGCTCAGTCATTAAGCGTCTGCCTTCGGCTCAGGTCATGATCCCGAGGTCCTGGGATTGAGCCCCCCATTGGGCTCCCTGCCCAGTGGGAAGCCTGCTTCTCCCTCTCCCACTCCCCCTGCTTGTGTTCCCTCTCTCGCTGTCTGTCAAATAAATAAATAAAATCTTTTAAAAAATAAATAAATAAAAATAATATATATGTATATAAATAAAAGAAATAGAAAGATAGCACTAACCTTTCATTACACTCCTGTTTTCCAGTCAAAATTTGAAATACTCAGGGCAAATTTTTGAATGAATAAATTTGCCCAGGTGTCAAAATATAGTCCATGATTTCTTAAAAATGCAGTTTGTAGATGCATTGTAAAACATGTAAAATTTTACACTTTACTGGAATAATAACAGATGCACACAAAAATGCAAAGGACATAATTTTTTTCTTTTTAATGTGCACATTGGTTCAATTGCTTATTTCCACTGTTTTTAAGTTCAGTAGCGTTGGGTGTGAAAGCATGCAAAGTGGCTAGTCAGTCAACAGATATTTCTCTAGCATCTACCATGGGCCAGGCCCTGCCAAAACAAAACAGTCTAACTTAATGAGTTATGCAAGACCTTATGCTAAGAAATATTTTGCATAATCTCTTTCATTTAATCCTCATAACGGGACCAAGCTTCATTGGCCATTTGGCCCTGGATTGTCCAGCTAATACAATTTAAGTCCTTATAGGAAACCCACAGCTCAGGTTAAATTTTTAATCGTTCTTGGGCTAGATAGCAGGAGTACACCTGCAGTGTCACATTTGATCCATTTTAACTAAAGACATGCCAAGTGGGAGGAACCATAGCTATCAGTGGTGACTTCTGCCTGAGGGCTTAGGCTAGGGGCAAAAGTCAGGTATTTGCAACATGGTCCATTGGTGTGAGCTACTGTCATGGGGGCAATCAGGAGAGAACATGAATGGGCATCTTGGGAATGTGCTGTCCTGCTTGGGGACTCTCCCTATGGCCCTGAGTACGAACGGGTGAAAACACCCTGATCTCCAAGTGTTGCTAATTCTTAGAAATTTTATTGTTATGGAAGAAAGGAAAGGCAACTTCATTTGCTCTCATTGCTCCTAGAGCTATTCTTCCCTGGTTCAGCTTCTGGAGAGTCTAGTATGTGCCTCTGGGCAAGAAGTGAAGGGCCAGATTGAATTTCCTTCCCCTCTGGACACAGGTTTCAAAGATGAGTATGTCCATTCCAGTCCTCAAGGAATTCATTATCTTGGCAGAGAACCTGACATGATTCTGCGGAAAAAATTTACGGGTGGGTGCCAGGCACTGGGGATAAAATGGGAGCACTCAGAGCAGACAAGGCCTTACTCTCATGGAGCTGACATACAGGGCCCTTGAGACCATAGCAAGGAAACCTTGATAAGGAATGGGAAGAAATGAAAACAGTAATGAAATGGAGAGTGACTAAGGGACTACTTGGGGCTCATTGTCAAAAGAAGTTTCCTGATTGGTACTATTTGCCCAGAAACCTGAATGAGAAATTATTTGTGGGAACATAGAGCAGAGTATTCCAGTCTGAGGGACTGACAGGAGAAATAGCCTGAGATAGCAATGAACTTGGGTCTTAAGGTGATGTTGGGGAAGATAAGAGGATGTGACCACTGGTTGACCCTTGAACTGGGCCCAGGCAATGGGAGGTTCTTCACTCCTCCCATCCCTCACTGTGGGAGATGTTCCAAGGACACAGTCTGGAGAGAATAAGGTGTTGAGACCATTGGATGTGACTGAACCCAGTTAAGGCCTCCATATAAACTTAAAAGATTCTGGCAGGTAGGTGGGTGGAGAGATCTACTCTTACCTCGCCAGAGATAATGTTAGGAGTTAGTTGGACAGTTAGGTAGTCAGGGCCAGGGTTCCCAACAAGAAAATATGGAGTCAGCACAGCTAAAATAAAACAGCACTGACATCCTGTTTGCAGCTTAGGACCGTACTGACATTCTGCTTTGCACCCTTTGCAGAAATGACTTCTGCAAAATGTCCTAAAACAAAACAATTAACCACAAAAGCATTTGTCAATATCACAGGCAAGGGGCAAGTGAGACATAAACCCCCAGATGTCAGCAAAAAAAAAAAAAAATCAGTACGTGGACATTAACCTAATAGGTATACAGACACAAAAGAGCTCATAAAAACACCTAAACTTAGAAACTCTGAGAGCAACCCACTTCTGTCCCCCTCCCTCTCCGGGGGCTTTGTTCTCTTGCTCAATAAACTTTGCTGCCCACCACTGTTCATCTGGTCTACCTCTTCATTCTTCGAAGTAGCGTGACCAAGAACTGCAGGCACTAAAGGGACACAAAATCCTTTAACGATAAGCCTCACAAGTAAGTTCCCTTGCTTATTAAAACCACCACCTATACATCTGGATTCTTCAGTCTGTCCTTACCCTCTGTGTAGAGGGGCCAGTTTGCAAACTAACACATGAAGTGCCTTCTAGTAATAGGTAAAAAACTCCTGAACTTTCAGGATGTTCCAGGCATGTGAGTTTTAAGCATTTTACACGTAGTTCATTTCATCCTCATGAAACAATGAGCTAAGTACTATTCTCTCCATTTTCAGGAAACAGGCACAGAGAGGTTAATTAACTTGCCCAGAATTACACTGCTAGTAAATGTTGGAGCTGGGATTCAAACCCAGAGTCCACTTTCTCAGTTTTTACACACAAAAAAACTGAAGTACAGAGTAATACATAAATCCCTTCGCAGAGCGCTCCCCTTTACCCATTGTTAAATCCAGAACGAACCAGTTGGGTTCATTCATTCATCAAATATTTATTGATGTTTACTATGTATATCATTATTACAGATGCAGGGAATGCAATATTGTACCAAACGGACAAAATCCCAGCCTTTTTGACGTTCACATGGTTGGAGAAACATACCAAAAGTAAGCTAAATAATAAAAGAATCATAACTAAGGAAAAAAGAGGGAAATAAGGATGACGCAAGGGAGTGCAGTGGGATTGAATTTAAAATAGTGTGATCCAGGGAATGATTCACTGAAAAAAATGAACTGTGAGGAAAAACCAAGGATTCTTTAACCCAAAAACCTAGCCCTATTTTCGCGCACACTTTACGCACGCACGGCACTCACAGCCCCTGCCTAGTGCTCGGGCGCCCTCTGGCGTCTCTTCGACCGTGCGCAGCCGCAGCAGCCTGAGGCGGGACAGCAGGACCGGAAGTGCCGCGTCCTCCCCTCACCCTCCCCTTCCGCCTAACTTCCGCCTACCCCGCCCGGGCCCCCGGACCGGAAGCGCCGCGCTCGAACCCCAACCTCCTCGTCTGGCTTGAAACACCGGCGCCGCCAAGATGCCGGTACGGGGGCCCAATTCGCGGTGTGGGGAGATGGCGAGAGCTAGGGGGGAGTGGCGAGAAATCGTGCGTGAGCTGAGGGAAGCGGGCGGAGGAGGGCAGAGAAGAAGCGGGGCCTGAGAAGGGGAGAGCGAGGAAAGGCCGGTCGCTGTAGGATTGGGTCGGCCCGGGGGTGTCGGCCCGGGGGGACGGGGCCGCGGCAGAGTGGGCCAGAGACCCTGAGCGTACAGAGGAGGCTGCCTCGTCCCCTCTCGCCCCCTTCGTTCCAGTGCTGACCCCTTCTCTCGCTCTTTCTGTGCTCCCCTACTCCACCAGGATCCCCGAAGATTCGCTAGAGCTGAGAAGCCAAGGGCTGTGCTTTTTATTTTTAATTTCTCAAGTCTGGGGTCCGGCTTCTCCTTTTTCTCCCTGCCGCAGGCCCACTTCCTCCTCAACCCCGGGGCCGGGTCCCTCCCGCTGCTTGTCACTGTCATACTCCACTTCCCGGACTCCTCCTCTGTCGCCCCGGCAGTGGTGGCCACGCTTAGCTGCTGGGTGTAGGGGCCGCCGGAGCAGATGCAGGGTCCGCTCCTGGTTTCTGTTTTCGTGTGCATCAGAGTAGGAGTAAACTTGACTGTAGTCTGGTTGTCCTTCATTTCTGACAGCCAGTCTGGTGGGGTGAATTTATCGCCATCATGGTCTCCATTTTGCAGATGAGGAAAAGGAGCTTCAGTAACGTGATTACTCACACAAAAAATATTACTGAGCACCTGCTGCATGCCAAGTACTGTTACAGCAGTGAATAAGGCCAACAAATCCCTACGCTCAAGGAGTTTACCTTCTAATGGGGAGACAAACATATAAATGGAAATAAAGAAAAAAGATAGTTTTAAAGTTTTTTTTTTGAGAGAGAGAGAGTGGGAGCACGCTGGGGGGGGCGGGGAGCAGAGGGAGAGGGACAAGCAGACTCCACCGCTGAGCACAGTGCCCGGAGCCCCCTGGGGGGCTCTATCCCACCACCTGAGATCCTGACCTGAGCCTAAATCAAGAGTCTATGGCTTAACCGACTGAGCCACCCAGGCAGCCCTAAGATAGGTTTAGATAGTGACAAATGTGTTGAAGAAAATAGATGGGTAACAAGACAGCTGGTGAAGGGGAGAGTGGAGGCTGCTTTAGATGAAGCATACCTGTGACAAAAAGGAGCAAGCCATAGTTAGAGATACTTACTTAATGAATCCGGTGGGTACCATTCGAAGCCTGCTATGTGCCAGACAGGCGCTGAGCTACACACTGCATGTAAGTTATCCCATTTAATCCTCACAGTGACCCTGTGAAGTAGATACTCATTGTTCCCATTTTGCAGAGGAGGAAATTGAGGCTCAGAGAAGTGTAGTAACTTACCCAAGTTTTCGGTACTAGTGGTAAAGCCAGATTTTAAGCTAGGACTTTATAAAGTCCTGTGCTCATTCCTGGACTTTGCTGTGATTTCTTATTTATTACCTGCCTCTTCCATCAGCTTGAAGGTTCTTCAAGGGCAGAGATCTTACTGGTCTTGCATACCGTTTATCACCATGCCTTGCACATAGAAGGTGCTTGATAATCGTTTGGTGGATCAATGAATATGTGAATATATGAATGAAGCACAGGTATGCTTCTTGTGTTACTA